AAAAAACGATGAAATCTGAAATCACAGCGTAAATCGAGTAAAAAATTTCCGCGTTCTGATCGCGACCCATATGAAACCCATATGAAAGTGTAACTGTAGTTTTCCATCATCTTCATTAATTTATGTTTTCGTAAAAAAAAGAGAGAAGAAAAAAATCGAATTATGCTAAGTACATTATGCGTTTTACACGACTCAATGAAAAGAACGAAAAAAGCCACGTATTGTAAAAATTGCTCGTGTCTGTTAATACCAAAAAATATAAACTTTATTAGATTATAATGGTACCTTTTTTGCGAGTGGCGTATATAAAATAAAATGATACCACTACTTATTTATCAATCGTCGCTCATGGTAGATATGTATAATATACAATAATTAATAATATAGTCTATAATGTTATTGTAATACAACAGACTATGTACATTATTTCTACATCATAACACAATAAATGATTGGATATACTTAGTAATTAATGTTATCTATTAAACGTTAACAATTAATGCTATTATCGTTCGATCGTCTCTTCTTGAAAGTCACGCGATTATATTTTTTTTTTCTTTTTACATCTTACCGATGTTATTCTAAAGATGCGAAGTGCTCAGTCTTGTATCCCAGCCGATATATCCGATCTCTTGTCTCATTAAGGCCGATTAAAAAACCTAATATTTGAACAATTTACGCTTCATTTACAACAAACCATGTTAACACATACAAAAATCTGCATTAGCTTTGTTCCTTCTTTAATCCTAAATGTTTTTTTTCATTTACAACGCATATATAACGCATAACTTATCGAACAAATGTTTTTGCATTTCTACGAACATGTTCAAAGATTGAAATATATACCAGGTACATTGCACATACTTTTTAATCTTCAGAGATTTACTCGAACGTTTTGCCATGTATATTAGATTTTCATAGATCCAGACCCCAGGATTACAAGAAAACTTCAGTATAAAATATCACGTATCACATAAACACATAAAGGATCCCTCCTAGAGAAACATTTTATTTTCATTTAAAATCATTTCAATCTTTGGTAGAGAACCAGTAAAAAATCACACAGTTTAACCAAGCGTTTCTTATAAGAAACTTAAGAAAGACAGGGAAAAGTACAGGAAGAGTTTTATGAGCATACAACCTACCACCCACGATACTCTGTCAGAACAGGATATCTAAACAAAATTGAGCCAAAAAGTTTGCCCATAACTATGGCAAGGAACTACTTTGTCCACTGAGTTGACATGGACCTCCACATACTGAAGGTTTAAAGTGCCAGAGGGCTACCCAATGGAATTGGTCAAAATTCAAAAGCGAGAGCAAAAACCAAAAGTCTTAAAGGACCATAAGAAAGTCCAATCAAAAATGCAAAAGGTTAGACTCGCTCGACCAAGTTTAATGTCTGACAATAAATTGAGAACACAACCACCAGTGTACATGTCCTTTACAGGATGTATACTTTGCTAGCTAAATCAAAGGCAGGTGATCAGGAATGGAAGGTTCCTTTCTTCGGAGACTGAGATATTAAAGAGTCCAAGGTGACGGAGGAGCAGAATCCATACTTTATCATTAGGTTTAGGGCTAGGCTCCTTACCCCAGACACTACCAAGACACTCTGAAATGTCAACCGGTGCACCATACTGCTCAGAGTATGAGAAAAGTCTCATGGGACAACACAGCAGCAAGACAGCTCTTTCATTGTGTGCTTCGTTCAGTGAGTTTTATTCCATTCTGACCATTCAGATACACGTTTCCCTTCTGCGAGACTTCTTGAGCACTCTGAGCAGTCTTAAATGAGATAATAGTGTCATTCGCTGGACCTAGAAGACACTGTTCTTGTCGGCTAACTATGGTGTAGATATCACTGATGATCTAGACGTTAGTTAAGAGAAAAAAAGGTGCTGTGACTTTGGCCACTGTAGGCAAACGCACCATTGGCGTGTGGGTTAGCAGACTATAGCGGATAAAGTGGGAATCAGACCCAGACACATTTACCCAAGTGAAATGCAGTTTGGTGATGGCGTGAGGTATCAGGAAGAGCATGACGACAGGCTACTTAAACGGTTCGTGCCCGTGGTGGGACTTTGAATATGTACCAGTACATGTTCGGGGACTAGTTAAGCGACAGTGTGTCGTTGAGCGAACCGACGGGCATTTTGTGAACAAGGGTACCGAACCAATTCATTTCAATCTTTGAACATAGCATTATTCCTCCGATCTCTGAAAGACACAGTTAATTGAATAAAATACAGTAGAATTTAAATTATTTAATATACAACAATGACGCATCGTGTTCGTTTTGTTATTAATTAGGAAATGCACTAATTATTCATTGGCATCTTCAAGCAACTGATCGAGTTGTAAACGTACAAAAAAATTTTAATCTAATTTATCACTTAAAGTAACAGAGCCCTTTGAACATGTTTGATGCACACATCAAAATGACTATATACTAATATCAGTATACGAATATTTTAATAAAAAATATTGCAAACATTTTAGGAACATGTACAAAAATTATTCTACTATAAATATATGGCTCTTGTTCCTAAATATCAGTGATATCAGCGTATTTGTCATGTACACAGACATAAATTTGCGAAATTGAAAGTTATTTAGAAATAAGATTGAAACATACGTGAAGCATTTCCCATGAAAGAAAACAGAAACATAATGTATAATTTGAATATCATTCCCCATTTACGATCCCTTCGCTCGTTAATTGCAATAATTCCTTCCTATTTGTTACATGTATCGTACAGTTAAGTCTCGTTTAATATTGGAATTTGCATCTTAATTTTTCATTAGAAACAAAGCAACTGATCAGACCCACTGCAAATATATATATATATATATGTATCGTTCACAGTTATTCGTGTTTTTTTTATTATTACTTAACATTATATTTATATATACGTAATCCAGTGGTCTTGAATTTTGCATCAACAAAAAATTAGATAATTATTCGATAATCGAGACTTAACTATGTACATAATAAATTTTAATATGACCTGTACAATGTTACTTAACTCTGTAACGTGGTGTGCTATATACATTGAGAATTGAATTAAAGTATAAGTAAATACAAATCAAACTCCGCTTTATACAGATCATGGTGTATTAAGGGTTAAACGAAATTTTAAACACAGGTCTCAATTGCATATAAAACATGTCTAAAGTATTGTTAACTTTTAGCACCAGTTTAGGCATGTTCACCATTCTTTGTAACCACTACTTTTGGCAAAGTAATATTAATACTATTACGTAACTTCACTATTAACAGGCATAACAAAATAGATCGACAAGTATCTTATATCATTAAGAAGGAGCAATCAAACAAATGGACGGGTCGATTACTTATTTCTACACTAGGATACTGCTAATGAACGAAATTGCTAAAACCTATATCTCTACTCCATCTCTCGGTTTATTTATTTATCGATACTTTGAGTTTCATCGATGCATTATTAAACCGAGAGATGAAATAGCACAGATTCGTGCAAGTCCGCGTGTCGCAGAACTTTTTTTCTACACATAATTTAAGTGTTCGAATACAGATAAAAAATTGATGCAGCTGTAAGAGACATAATGATTTTTTCTTTTTTTTTTCTTTTTGAGCATTACGACTGCTAAATTTGCTCGAGGGGCCGCTGATCTAGTATCGATAATAAAATTTTAGCTTCCTACAAATTTCCTTAATTAATCGATCGTAAAAATTTTTGTAGAGTTCCCCCTATCAAAATCTTCATAATAATTGTGAGAAGCTTCAGCCCCAAGAACAAAATGGATAACATTATAATGGATATTTCTGATTGCCTTGGCGCACAATAAGTTTAACAATAACAAGATTTTCATTACGACATGTCGTATTGAAAATAATAGTTTTCCCTTTTATAATAGATTTCACTATTATATACGCACCTGTCTATTATTTATTAAGATATGGCTCTTGGTATTAACCAGTCATATCAATAAAAATATTTTGAATTCCCAAAATCAATCCTATAAGAAGATACTTTGATCACGTTAAACTGTATTAATCTTTATGATACGATAATATAACTTATATGATTCATACAAACCTAAATAAATTAATCAATCAGGCATATCAATAGAAATTATAGGTACAACAGGTTTCGTTAGGTCGATTTTCTTAACATGTTTCTCGTTCTTATCCGAAACCATTGGTTCAGATGGCGGTTGATCTTGTTCACTTCTTGGTTGATACGATATATTACCGTATTCCTGAAGTAATGGACACAGTCCTAATAAAAAGTGACAAAAGTCTTTTCTAATACCAAACCACCCTAAAATTCATAATGGCCGATTAATATTAATTAACAATAATCTAACCGAGAAGAATATAAAATTATTGTTACTCACATCTATTTCCACCTTTTGCATCAAAAGACATAAAAATAAGTGTTACGTGAGATATTAAAAGTGGCATGGCGACTGTGGTGTAATTTAATGAAATGTCTCCATCCAATTTATTTGCTAATAACACCTACAATTAGGTAAAAACCAAGTTAATGGAATCTCTTGAACATTCACAGTTTCATTGAAATAGGATTCCTTACTTGGAACACTGAAATTGGAACCACGAGAAATGTGTATGCCAGTGCAGAATTTAAGGACGTCCGCCTCTGTCTGGCAGTAACTTGTGGTGCCCTTAATAAAACAGCTGCAAACACTATTGCATAGAGAACAGCAACTAGGGACAAGCTCAAAAGTGTCCAAACAGGCACGAACACTACTTCCCAACTCCATGTTATAAAACCATCTAGTCTTAACGCCAAGAAAATAAATTGCAATACATTAACTGCACAGAACAATTCAAGTTCGAATGACCGATCATGTTTTGCAGCCCAAATACATACCTGAAAGTATAATATACTTATATTTGGAGAGAATTAATCTATAGTATACAGTGTTTCAGCTGTAGGAGAACAACTAAATATCTCCTTTGTATTTAATAATGTATTATCTATTTGAAAAAAAATTAAATATGATAACTCTACAGTCGGGAAATTATTTTGTGTACAATCTTATAACTTCTCTTAAGCATCAGTCGGTTTTGCTATAAATAAGAATAATTATAATCCTTTAAATAATAAGCCATTACATAATGCTTACCAATACACTAATACTGTCTTTACAAACAGCTAGGGAACAGATCTTTTATACATTTGTACACTGACGGTATGTACACCACCGTTGATGGACATGACCTTGAACATTTATAACAAACAGTAAATTTGTATTCCATTCTAACTTTGTTTTGGAATTGGATCACCTTTGTGAATGCAAGGTCATCCCAAGGTCATCTCTTAGCCATATTCAAATGCAATTTAATGATTGCTACAAGATGAAGTAAAAAAAAAGTAATGCTTTTTC